ATCCCAATAAAACTGAAGAAAATAAGTCCTCAGAAGTGGAATTCTAGGTAGACAAGTTGTTTCTTTGTTGAGAAGGTGGATGAGGCATTATTAGATCTACCAGAGACAGTAGGATGATAAATAAGGAGTCGTAATTAGTCTTTTACCCCAGAGTCTGTTTTGGGTTTTTTGTTTTCTTTTTTTAAGATTTTCATATTCTAAGGTCTTTCAGTGAGGCTGAGCCAACCCTAATGGATATTTCTTCCATTAGAAATTTTCCAAAAAGAAATTTTTGGAAAAAGTCACCTGCCTCTCATCTTCTGGATGTGTTTGTGGATGTCCCTTTGTGAGCCAAGGTTGCCCAGCTGTCTGTGTCTCTTCAGACCATCCATTTAGTTGAGCATGTGTGATGAACATCCCAAAGTCATATTGGCATGTCAAACCTTACGTTTTTATCATTATTAACCCAAAGTTTCCAAGTATAAAATGACCCTTTGTTTACTGTTTTAAAAAAGAGAAGGAAGGCATCACCAACTTCATCCTCCGGAGTGCTTTATGTGAAGTCCACCGTAAGAAACCTTAGGATTCTTCTGCAGGACCTCACTTTCCCATCTGCTTCCTCTTCCCCTCATGGAGCACCTTGGAAGCTGCGGGACTCACGCTGCCCTCTGGCCCTTCCTGCCAGGAATCTAGCCCCAGTCAATCTGGTATCCACTGTGCTACCATATTTGCATTCTCCTCTGTTCTTGGCTTGAGTCGGTTTTCATTTTATTAAATTCATCATTGTCTTTTTGGCAAAAGCATTTCAAATCCTTTTGAGAAAGAAGAGGCTATAATCTCTTCATTTAGCTTCATTAATTAGTAGATAAAACAACAGTTTTAAAAGAGCCACCATACAAGGGGAAAAAAGTAGACAATAGACTTGAGGCTTTGACTCTTGGCTAAAGATGTACATGAATCCCAACGCCACCCTTCACCAGTGCCGTTACTAGCCCTGTCACTTTGGGCCTGTCTTTCTATCTCTTTAAAACTCAGTTTACTTCTCTGTAAAGTGGGGTTAATAATACCTGGCTCACCTGGTTTCCTTGAAGATTAAATGGCATGCTCAGAAAATTATAAATGCTTGATTTAAAAACACGAAGGTGTAGCTGATATCACCTTGCAAACAGGTAACCACGGCCTCAGTTTCTGTTGGGGCTACATTGCATTTTGTAGTTTTCTGTTACCTTCCACGGTATCAGGAATCGCATGACCTGGTGGGCGGTCAGCAGAGACCCCTCAGCCTGAACAATAGCAGTGCTCCCTGTGGAGCAGAGCTGTAATTGTTTTCATGTACAGAAAGCACATTTGGTTCTCAGTTGTCCATGCTGATGGGGGAAGGAGAAAACATGAACTAAGCATAAGTAAGTGATAATCTGTGGACTGTCACCACCCCGTGTACCGTCCACTGCTTTTTATGTTCATTCTCTGTCTTCCTTTCCAGGACCACTGCCCCGGGAATCCCCATCATCTCTTTGTCTGAACCCCCACCCCCACCCTGAGGCCTTTGGCATGGAGTTCCCAGCTCCAGCTCTTCCACCTCCTTCTTCCCTGTATAGTTCTCTCTCTGGAATAGAGGTCTCCTCAGGTCCTTTCCCCAGTTAAAAACCTTTCCGCAGTTAAAAACCTTTCCGCGGCTATAAATAAAGTCCACGCTGCTTGGCATGATATGTAAATAACAGCCGGCAAGGTATTTTTCTAATGTCATCTGCCTTCACATGCACACACACACACACATGCACGCACGCACGCACACACACTAGCAGGGTGTCTACTGTTTTGAAAAAGTTTTCTGCATAAAGTTGTTTATAATATCCCCCCTCCAACTTTTTATTTTGAAAATTTGAAATCTACAGGAAAAAAATGAAAGAATATCCTTATCTAAATTCACTAATTCTTTATTATTTTGGCCACATTTGACCCCTCCTCTTCCTTTCCCCCTTCTTCCCTTCAATTTGACCGAAGTGTTGATAGTTGCAGACGCCCTGAGCCTTCATGCCCACACAGCTGGCACACATTTCCTAAGAGATGGACAGTCTCAGTATAACCACAAGGCTGTTACCTCATGTATAAACACACAATTCTCTAATACCATGTTAAAACATTTTCCGATTTCCCCAATTGTCCCAGCATTGTGTCATCTCCTCTGCCCCCTCCTCACCCAGGATTTATTCCAGTTTCACGCCTTAGTCTCTCTAATCTCTCTTAACATTGAGTAATCCCCGCATCTCTCCCCCTGTATGTTTTGAAGCGTCCAGGCTAGTTGCCTTTAGCACACATTAAGGGTTTTTCATTTTGTTCCTCTAACCTCTATATTTCTTATAAACTAGAAAGTAGTTCTAGAGGTCTGTCTCTCTGTCTCTTAAAATGCCTGCAGGGGTCAGAAGGGGGCTGGAGTTCACCTCCTTTCCTTTCCTTTGCCCACCTTTACCAAGAGAGGACCAGATGGGCACGTAGGAAGAAGCCCCAAGTGCAGGCAGCTTTCATTCTTTTATTTGTTTTTAGAGAGAGGGGAAGGGGGAGGAAAGAGAGGAAGAGAAACATCAATGTGTGGTTGCCTCTCAAGCGCCGCCCCCCCCCCCAAGAACCCCCCCAGGAACCTGGCTTGCAACCCAGGCATGTGCCCTCAACTGGGAATTGAGCTGGCAACCCTTTGGTTCGCAGGCCAGCACTCAATCCACTGAGCTATACCAGCCAGGTCCTGTCAGCTTCCATTCTTTTGGGGAGCTAACCAGAACTAAAGCAATAGGTAATGGAATATAGGTTGTAATAATAAAGATAAGAGTGTAAATCATGAGGTGTGAGCAGGGTGGTGATATTCTCTTCTCAATCAGTTAGTAAAGATCTGTCTCAGGGTAAGGGGTAACATTTGTGTAGAAATCTCGGGGGGGGAAAGAGAACTAGAGAGGGAGAGGACACGGTAGGTGGGGCACCTGGGGGAAGCCATGGGGCAGCCCCACTTGGTGGGGTTTCTGTGTCCCTGTTGCCTAGCCTACTTGCCAGGCCTCCTCCTGCTGGCGCTCGCTGTGTGCCTAAGAATCCATGGTGGGAGACCTTTTTCATTGTGTACCGTATTCCCTCATTTACACTGCACCATTTTAAAGGCTGATGAGTTAAACACTGCTTTTATTTGGGATGGGGGGCAGCTGGGATTGGTGAAAAAGAGAACTCACCTGATTATTTACGCAACATCTCTAAAACCCATCTGGCTTATTTCCAAATCAGCTTTAAAACCCATCTTCATTTCAAAAACTTTCGCATATGAAAAATATGTGCTGTTTTCAATCAAAGAAGTACTTGCTTCCCCTTTATTTTGGGAACCACAGCTCACTAGTTTCAGAAAGAGGTGTGACTGCCCTTCAGAGGCTTCCACCTCACTCATGAAGTGATAAACAAGATGAAGGTCCCAGTGGAAGCCTGCAGGACCCCATGCACAGATGAACACTGGTAACAGTGCAAGTGAGTGACAGTTTAGAGCGGTGCTCTTGAGATTTTTTTAGAACAGTTCCTCCCCCAGGAACTATTTCCTAATTCACACCACTCCACCTTCCCCAAACCCTAATTCATCTCTCCCTCCCCTAAAGTACTTGGCATGATCCCCAGCAGAATTACACAGGCCACATGGGAGACCCTACCCCCAGGAAGCCCCCAGAGGATATCCTGGAACGTGTCCAGGAATCTGGTCTGTTCAATGTAGGTGATTCTAGTGTTCCTTTGGGTTTGGAAACCACTGCCCTATAAGACATTCAAATGAAGCTCGTAACAGATTTAGTTTTATTTTCAACGTATAGATTTGACCATGGGGCTGTACTGTATAATGAAATTCATATCTGATTTCAATTTTTAAAATCATCCTTTTTAGTCCCAGGAGTGTTTTGAACGGTGCTCTACACATCGCAGTAGCAACTGAATAAACAAATAAAAGACTCGGGCATTTAGAAGCATGGTTATGTCACTCTGCACCTGGTCAAGCACAAGTGCCTTCTGGCCACAGTTTTTCCTCCAGAGTCTTATACACAATCATGGCTCTTGGATGCCATCCTCTGTGCCCGGAGCTCTGCCATCTCTCCTGGTTGCCACACTCCCATATTTTACCGGGAAGCCTACCGGATTTCATCATTGGATGTTCCTACAGACATCTTTTCTCTCTTACCTGTGTGCCCTCTTTTTTTTCCAGGCTTGGTGAAGGCCCCCACCATTTTCCCAAGCCACATTCAGTTTGGGCCAGATTCTCTGCATCCTAGTTCTTAATCATGCTTGCCTTTGAAGCCCTGAGCTCCCTCACTTCACCTTGCATATTGTGTGATTCATCCTGGGGGGAGGGGAGGCAAACAAACAAACTCCTCAGTTCTGTACCCAACATGTGCCTCCCTCTCCTCCCCAACCTACTCCTGGCCTTCCCTACCTGGTGCCCCTTGGTGAGGCGTTTCACAGTATAGAGCTATTGCCTTGAAGGGGTGAGATTGAACTAGTTCCCTGTAAAGGGGCCACATTAGCTCAGGGTCAACTTCGCATGTCAAGGTCCTTCCTCCTGGAATCCCTTTACTGACTTTGCCACCTGGCTGACATCACCTCTGTTTTGACTCAGAGAGCATTTCCTTCAGGATGCCTCCCCTGACCACCGCCTTTTCCTCTTGCGCGAGTTACATGTCCTTTCCTAGATCTGGTGCATCCTCTGTCATTGGCTTGCCACTGAACTGTAAATGTAATTGACACATGTTTGCCACAGAATATGAGCATCTTCAGAGCAGGAATTATGTCTTGCCGATGTAAAACTGATGCACAATAAAAGTTGTTGAACAAATGAATGAAAAATGAATAGACAAGCAAACTTGTTTGTGAACCATATCCACATTTGAATTTGTAAACTATGATAAAGAATAAAAGCATATTCTTTATGTTCTTCATTAATAGAGAGATTTTGGTGGCTTGAAGCCAGTTCTACAGTGGTAAAACAATGTCATTGCTTTGTATTCCAACAGGAAATATGGGATGTATAAAATCAAAAAGGAAAGACAATCTGAATGACGATGGACTAGATTTGAAGACGCAACCAGTACGTAATACTGACCGAACTATTTATGTGAGAGATCCAACGTCCAATAAACAGCAAAGGCCAGTAAGTAGATAGTCTCAGGGAGAATTCCCGCAGCAGGATCAAAGCATAGCTGCATAATTTAAACACCAAAATCTGTCATGTGTGCATGAAAAAAAATCACATCAGTAACTTGGGCCTCCATTTTTTATGTTTTATAACTTCGACCTTTAAAGAACCTGTAAACATTTGAGAAATAACCAGGTCACTTACTGTACAACAAACAGCCTTTGGTCACCTTCTGTGTACAGAAAATCATCTTTCATATCACTGGTGCGAATACCCACTTCTTATATATAAATATATTCAGTTCTGTCTGAGCTTGGGTGACAGGATAGGCAGTGAGATTAGTGCAGTGGTCTGGATTTGTTCCATTCAAGTCAGACGCTAAAATAGGTGCTCATGTGTCCTTTACCCAGTCTTGTAATTCTTCAGTTAATGGATAAGAATACAGATCCTGAAGTTGTCATGTCTTACTATAATTAAAAAATTTCTTTAAAAAGCTAATTCTGCCCATTAACCATGGACAAATATCCATACCAGAAATATTGTGAGTGATGTGCTATTTGATGAATTTGGGAATGCTAAGCAAAGGAAGAACTAACGTCACATTTTATGGAAAAGAAGAATAAAGCTTTTGGATAACTGAAATCCTAAATGCACTTTACCTCAGATTTTATATCCTTTCCATTGATTCTCTCCTTATGTATAACAATATCTATAACATATGTATAACATATCCCATAGCCTGGTTTTTATGGAATTCCTAAGCATTTAAGCTGAAAGCAGCTTATAACCACGTTAGCCCAAATGCCTTTATTAAGTGTTTTTTTAGTTTCTCTTATCTGACATGTTTTTTAAATGCCTTGGCATTCTAGAAGTGCATTATTTTGATCAAGTCCTTCAGCCAGCCCTCTCCCCCTCTGTTACCTATAATCCTACAGATATGATGTATGTAAAAGTTGCATGTCATTGTTGAAATTGCTAAATCACTATTGACCTTCTTAAGAAAAAATAAACTGATGAACAAAATAGAACCACGAGGATGGATACATGAAATAGATTAATGGATCTTAGAGGGGAGGACGGTGGAGAGGGCAGGACAAAAGCAGTTGAAGAGATTAGCCAAAGAACATACATGCATAGCCCTTGGACCCAGACGATAGTGTGGGCAGCCAGAGGGAAGGGGAGTGGGGCTGGGTGAGGTGGGCGTGGGGGGAGAATGGGGGACATCTGGAATAGTGTGAGCAATTAACAAGAGAAGTAGTGATGAAGAGTGAATATATTGTACATAATATTTCTGGAGAGATATATTAACACTGTAATTTTACATAGAAATTCAAAATGTATAAGATTATTAACTTTAATAATTTAGTGATAAATACATATAATGTACAGGGGAGGCTAAAAGTAGGTTTACAGTTGTGACTACATGAAACAGTTTATTCCTGTATTATTTATTCTTATATATTTTTATTATATATTTATTCTTTTATATATTGTATTATATATTTTTCCATGTGACTATAAACCTAGTTTTGCCTACCCCATATTTAAAAACAGCTCATCAATAAGTACAGATGTAGAACTACATAGTCTATAAATATGATAACTAGAAAGTAAAACGATATAAAGAATTGGAACCCTGGCTGCTTGGCTCAGTGGATTGAGTGGCAGCCTGTGAACCAAAGAGGAATCAGTTCGATTCCCAGTCAGGACACATGCCTGGGTTGCGGGCCAGGTGCCCAGTATGAGGTGCACGAGAGACAACCACACATTGATGTTTCTCTCCCTCTCTTTCTCACTCCTTTGCCCTCTCTCTAAGAATAAATAAAATTCTTAAAATAGTTGATATTTATTCTAAAACTAGAGGCACGTTTTTTAAAAACTTAAAAAAGAATTGGAGTCACAAATATTTCTTTTTTTATTGTAGACTTCTAAGTTCTCATAAAAAGGACCTGTCATTTTCTGGTATCACATATACCAGACTTTACATGCTTTAAAACCCAAGTGGTTTTTTTCTTTAATGACGAGTAAAGATATTTTCAGCACAAAAAAGAAAAATAGTGCAAACTTATACACCATTTTTCCTCTTATTAAAAGTAAAGGAGATTGAAAATTAAGTTAAAAGCAGAAGTAGTAACTATGTTTGACATCTTTCAATTCCTGTAATTTAATCTGTGTCTTGTGTGGTCACGGATGCCCCTGTTTTGTGAGCTGATTAGTTTGGCCTTATTCCCTGGCCACAGATGACACTCTCAGCTCCGGCCAGATGTGCCCAAAATGCACACCCTGGACTGATAACAGAGGAGCTCTGATGACAGGGTAAGGCAATTCAACAACGTTCTAAGGAAAAGACCCTTTAAAGAAAAAGGGGGAAGGTAGATGAGTTGCATAGATGTGTTTTGGTCTTATAAAAGAAGTGTATTAAAACATTTGCAAATTAAGGGACTCTTTGATATTTGAAAATCAGCTCGCTGCTTTCAAAATCATTTAAGTACTTTTATCTTCTAATTATTCCCACTAAGTCATTTAAATTGATCATACATACTAATTGTGCAAATTTAAATGATTAAAAAACCAGTATAAAATGTATTGAAAGTTAACATGGACCCATGATTTTCTGATAACAGAAAATTGCCCACCGTAATTGGAGATTTATATGGGCTAACTTCTATCAGAAATTTAAATTTTAGTACAAACTGCTTTGGTCCCATTTTATTAAATCAAAGAGAAAAGTGACATGATTTGTGGCTATGGGGCTTTGTAGCTTCCTTAAAAGGGTCTAAGAGGTTTGAACATCCTCCTCATGGTCACTGAAAGAGGAATTTGATTTAAAAGGTAATTGAAGTGGCTTTTGGTGCCACCAGACTTTTCCTGATAATTCATCTCCAACTAAAGTAACAGGGGATGCCATCTGTCCCCATGATGGAATCAGGGGCAACCACAGGAAGCCTGGATTGGTTAGGACTTATTCTCAGGACTTGTCTGAGCCCTGACTGCAAGTCTGGGAAATGCGGAGATCACAGTCCCGGCCTTGGAAGGCTATTCCACAAGGCCCCCAGGGCCCCAGGCCCCTTCCATCTCTGCTCTGCTGTCACTGGGGCCTGGTTTTCCTGGCTGCTGAGGCTCCAGCAAAGCTCCACACAACCGTTTTGTTGACACTGCCTCCCTCCATCTGCAAAGAATGCTAGAGAATTTGGAAGCAGAGTCATTTAGCTTGGCAGATTGCCTCCTAAATAATATTAGGGTTCTGTTACCGAACAAGAGGGAGAATGATTATTGGATAAGCATCTAGTGGCCCCTGCCCAGAGCCCTGTTCATTTCCTGCCACCACAGGCAAATGACTGTTTTTAGAAGGAAGAGCTGTGCAGATCGCGACAGAGCTCTGCAGAATTTTTTCTGTGTTTCTCTACCTTCTGGCTTAATAAATTAGCAAATCTAAACCTCATTTGCTACTGTTAGAAAAAACAATAAAACATACAATATGAATGTGAATAAGAAAAATGAAACATAAAAAAAAAAATTTCTAACCAATATTCTTTCCTAGGTTACAGAATCTCAGCTTTTACCAGGACAGAGGTTTCAAACTAAAGGTACGTTTTCATAGTAACATGTTGGTTTGTTTTCTTTACCGTTACAGACTGCGTAAAGTAGTTTTCCTGGGTGGGTTTTTTTTTATTGTGGAAAAATACATATAAAGTAAAGTTGATCATTTTAAATATTTTCAAGTGTATGCGACGGTGGAGGTAAGTGCTTTCATGTTGTCGTACAGCCGTCACCACGACCCACCTCCCGAACTTTTTCACCTTCCCAAGCTGAAACCACGCCCATCAAACACTAGCTCCATCCCTCTGCCCCCCCCGCCCGGCCCCTCGTACCCACCATTCTTCTTTCTGCCTCTGCGTGTTTGATATTCTAGGAATCTCATACATGTAGAATCATAGAATATTTGTCCTTTTGTGACTGGCTTGTTTCACTTAGCGTAATGTCCTCAAGGCTCACTCATGTTGTAGCTGGTGTCAGGGTTACCTTTCACAAGGCTGAATGTTATAGTGTTGTATGTATAGATCACATTTTGTTTTGTTTTTTATCCATTCATCTGTCACTGGACACTTGATTGTTTCCTCCCTTAGCTATTATGATGATACTCCTGTGAACATGGGTGTATCATTTCTTAAAAGTAAATATAAAGTTGGAATGAATTATCGTTACAGATCTTTATGATTCGAGATTTTTAAAAACACTGCACACAGTGTGTACAGCATGTTATTTACTGTAAATTTTGCAGACCCTGAGGCCCTCTAGGAAGGAAACACATGCCATTATCTCCGCTGCCCAATGAGGATTCGTCCAAACGTTTCTGTTGATGGGTTTTTAAAGGTCTTCATTTGTATTCCTTTTAGATCCAGAGGAGCAAGGAGACATTGTGGTAGCCTTGTACCCCTATGATGGCATCCACCCAGACGACTTGTCTTTTAGGAAAGGAGAGAAGATGAAAGTCTTGGAGGAGTAAGTATACCCAGGCACACTGCTCCTGCTGTCCCTGTCCCCAGGCCACCGAGTCCTACACACTGTCCCCTCATTTTGCTTCCAGTAGCACAGCAAGAGCCTGAACCCCTCTTTGGGCAAGAGGCCTCCCAGCTTTCTGGCTGTGATAGGGCTGGGAGTGGAAGGAGCAGGGCCAGAGGAATTTTCCTCCGAAGGTTACCTGTGAGCAATCTCTGGAGGTTTCCCTTTGAAGACGGAGACTGGTTTCTTTCTATCCATCTGTACCACCTTAAGAAGTTTGGATGTGCGTAGAATGTGCATGTTATTATACTGTCATTTTTATTTAGTTATATTACTCAAATTCAGACTGGATTTATGGGTCCAACTTGGTTTGATTTGTAAGGGCATTGTGCTGAAGCAGTGGTCATCTTGAAAAAGCTCTACTCAGCATGTGGCACTTCTGTGAAGATACTTGGACATCATCATTTGCTTAATCCTGTCTGTGCTGACTCACAGGCCTGTGACTCTAGTCAGACCATTACTGACTAGGGTTCAGAACAGTACTGAGAATAAGGAACTCCAAGTGTCTTAATTCCAGCTGCTTTTCCTCCTAACCTGCACACATTGTCTCCCTGGCCTGCCAACCAGGGTTTGAGGAGGGAGACACTCTATTAATTATAAGGTGTCAAGCGGTTGAGAACTATTATTGCTTAGTGGTTAAGCATGAATTTGGCCCTAATCCTGGCCCTGCCATTTACTGCTGTGTGACGTTCACAAGTAATTTCAACTTTCTACTTTAGTTTCTTTCCTTATAAAATGGGAACGACAATGTCTCTGTTATGGGTTGATGTGATGATTATATGTGTGTTCATATGGATTAATATAGTATAGGCATAGAGTAAGTACAGGTCAGTGGTAGTCCGCCATGTCTTGCTGACAAGGATCCGTGTATGTGTGGGAATTGGAAAAGAAACATAACTGAGGCTCATAGGGACCCATCCTTTCACTGCCCCATCCTCCTTCTCTACTCCATGCTGAGGGCAAGAACAAGTGAGGAAGCCTGCCTCCTTGAAATGTTTGTATGGTTTTCTATTTCTCTTCTCTGTGGTATCTATCTTTGGAAACTAGATGTTTGGGCAAAGGAGTTTATGGCACAGGAACTATGGGTCATTATTCCCTTGACTCCCATTCCTATAAGGACCCTAACACATTTCTTGGATATCCTGGATGAAATTACAAGCATTTTGCTTCTGCAGAATGGGAACCACTTTCACCAACTCTTGTTTGTGCAACGCTGAGTGCAGTGACCCACCCACATTTCTGTCAGGCAGCTGCCTCTCTTTGCTTCAGTTTCTAAACATTTTTATTTCAGCAAGAGAAGTGAATTTTCTCACTGGATTTTGAGGTTCCAGGAATCTTCCCCACCAACCCTCACATCCCCAACAAACACCTGGAGACAATCACTATTGTGGTCCTTGAGTAATTGGACACACTTCAGATGTGTGTTTCTATTTCAGGCATGGAGAATGGTGGAAAGCTAAATCCCTTTCAACAAAGAAAGAAGGCTTCATCCCCAGCAACTATGTAGCCAAAGTCAATACCTTGGAAACAGAAGAGTGAGTCTTTACATGTTGTCATTGCTGATGGTTTTGTTTGCTGTGTTGTATTTCTTGTTTGTTCTTTATCTTTTTATTTCCCTGAAGCGTAACACCCATGAACTGTTACAATGTCTTTTCAGGTGGTTTTTCAAGGATATAACCAGGAAAGACGCAGAAAGGCAGCTTCTGGCACCAGGTAACAGCGCTGGGGCTTTCCTTATCAGAGAAAGCGAAACATTAAAAGGTAAGACGTGGCGTAAGCCTTCTTATATATATAAAACACTATTTAGAAAATCATTCTTAGAAACTATTCTAGAATTCTTTTTAAAAAATATATTATGTTCTGGTAGTGAAAGTTTACGGTTTGATAACAAATAACAAACTCACATTATTAGTTTTGCTACTAAAAGTAACAGGAAACAGGCATAATAATGGCCATTTCTCACCACACTTTATGTTTGCACATTTATCTTTCACATTATTGTTTAGATTAAATCTTGAAATTTTAAGAGAAAGTAAATCAAAACAACTTTTCAATTCGGCAAAATAATTTTAAAAACTATTATGAAGAAGGAAAATGGCATGTTGGTAAACTTCAGAGCCAACAAAATGCTAGCTTTATGTATTACATAGACTTTTTATAGGACTTTTCAAATTATGTACTATATATACACTTAATTTATATTTTGCATATTTTATGGCAGAAGGGATCTCCAGTATTGTATAATGCAGATCTTATTTCTAAAATACAGGTATAATCTTGACTTGTACTTTTTCCCTCACAGGAAGCTACTCTCTATCTGTCAGAGATTTTGACCCTGTGCACGGTGATGTTATTAAGCACTACAAAATTAGAAGTCTGGACAATGGAGGTTATTACATCTCTCCAAGAATCACTTTTCCTTGTATCAGTGACATGATTAAGCATTACCAAAGTAAGTAAAGACCGAAGGTCAGACAAGACAAATATGTTTATTATTGTAAAAATATGGTGTCAAACACTTTTTTATATTAAAATCTTTTATGCATTACATTTCTTTTGGAAAAAGCTGGAGGATCATGTTCTATAACTGATTCTAAATTCATTTATAATTAAATATATGTTCAAAGTCAGATTTGATCCTTGTGAAGAATGATTCCAGTCCTTCCCACCTAAACCCTGATGTTTAGCAATCGATGTTTCAGAATTATGAAAAGAAAAAATGAATACTATTTTTATATAGTGCATATTTTTACAACACATCTTTAACTATCTAAAAGAAGAATGCAGTCTTGCAGATGTATGCGTGCTTAACAGTAATGCATACTCTTTTCGAAAGAACTCGGATAGAGCCACACCAAAATATTTAGCAGTGGCAGGTCATCGGTCCTCTGTCACCAATGCCGCTCTCCAACCCTGTTAAGCTGAACCCATGACCAGCCTTTAGGTTCATTCCCTGTGTGACTGAAGTTGGTTGTACTGGGCAGCTGTTGTTACTGCTTATTTCTCCAACCCGCTCAAGGGCAACACACATAGGTTTGCTTAGATCCCAAAAGATGGAGAGAGCAAGGCACGCCATATTTTGTGGAATCCACCCTCCCTCTCTGTGTGTCCCATTCACTGACTCATCTGGCCTGTGTGCTGAGTGTTTGCTGTGTTCTGGGGTGGGGTGGCGGGACCAAGCCCCTGCCATTTGGCCATGACGTCGTATGTGGACTCAGCGATTTCAAATTACATTTTATTAGGTGTGACAATCTATCAGCCTCTGTTTATCTGTTTGTCATGTTTTTATTGTTTTAATAGATTAACAGTACTAATGAATGAAATCAAGTATGTTTTAAATTGTCTTTCATTTAAGAATTTCAAAAGTCATGATTATAAAAAAGATACCCCTATAAGCATTTTAGGTTCCTACCTATGGCAGGTTGGAAATTATAAGACTAGCGGTTGAAACTTCCCCATCGATACTGGTAAAGTACAAAGTATGATTGTTTTTTAACATTTATTTTCTCTTTCAACTTAGAGCAGTCAGATGGCTTGTGCAGAAGATTGGAGAAGGCTTGTATTAGTCCCAAACCGCAAAAGCCATGGGACAAAGATGCCTGGGAGATCCCACGAGAGTCCATTAAGTTGGTGAAGAGGCTTGGTGCTGGGCAGTTCGGGGAAGTCTGGATGGGTGAGTGTGTGGTTCTGGAGCCAAAGATCGCTCTGGAGGCAACAACAGGAGAAATAAGGGCTCCAGCCAATTTCAGTTGTTTTTCTCAGCCAAACACTAAACTGTGTCAGAAGCATCACTTCATTTGTTTTTCTGTGCACCTGGCACCAGAAACTGGCCTGCATAATTATTTGATTAGACTCTTTCTCTTCCTTGTGGCTTAGTAATCCTCTTTCAGAATTAACATTTATAAGGAAGAGAGCAGTGAGTATTTATCCTGATTGTTCTGTCTACTCCTTCATGGTTCATCACTAGATTCTCTGGACACACGCATTTTAACTACTGGAAATCTGCTTCTATCTCAGGGGAAGGTACACTTGGTTTAAGACCATCCTTGCTAGTGGGCTTAAGGAAGCCTCATGTTTATTGCAGTTTCTCACCAAGAAAGTTTTTGAAGATGCTCAAAGTGCCATCATTAATAAGTCATTCCCTACAGTTAAGTACAGCCTTCTCAGGCTGGGAAAACCATGGCGGTGGCTTTTTACAGAGGATTCTTTTGCCCATCTATCTTTTTTAAAGTTTTTATAGTGCATGGGAATTTCTTTTGTAATAAAAATACCCCTCCCCCTGCTTCAAAGCATCATATTTTCTTCATGGTTCTAATTGAAAATGCAGTTACTTCTGGAAAAAATAACTTATTAGGTTATATACGTCTTACTATATCACTCTTTCTCTCCCAGCTCTGTGTATGTGAAAGCAAGCATGGTTTCTAAAGAAAAAGAGTGGACAGCTTTTAAAAACTGTCCAGCCCAGCCCTTACCGGTCTGGCATAGTTAGTTGGGGGTCATCCACAAGGCAAAGGGGTTCTGGCTCAATTCTCGGTCAGGGTTTGCAGGCCAGGGTCCCTCGTAGGGGGTGTGCGAGAGGCAGCTGATAGATGTTTCTCTCATTCATCGATGTTTCTCTCTCTCTCTCTCTCTCTCTCTCTCTCTCTCCCCCCCCCTTCTCTTCTCTCTAAAGATAAACAAATAAAATATTTTTTAAAACTGTCTAGCCACTAATGAGCAGAAACGAGACTTGTCCCATCTGCAGCAGCCACATGGGCATTTCACTTCCCCATCCGAGGGTCTGTGAGGAAGGGTTTTTCCTCTAAAGTCTTGGCCCTTGGGCTCCCAGCTTTGCCTCCTTTCTTCTATTGATGATGCTTTAGTCAAGGTTCTTTTAAATAGAATGAGCCAGGATAGCATTGATTCCTACTGCGCCGTAAATATTTGTGAACATGTTTACAGAATTCAGGTAAATTAGAATTATGCACCTCACATTTATTTGGTTGGCATATTCCAGAGCCAGTAGGCAGGCGCTCCATTGCCATTCCAATCACCAGATTCATGGGCGCTAGTGCTCGCTCTGGGTATGGTCTCTTCCCATTCTGTTGCTCAAGTCGTAATATTATCCTCCTCCTTCTTCTACCTGCTTTGTTCTTTTTCATTGAGGTAAAATTCATGTAACATAACATCAATTATGTTAAAGTGAACAGAGACATTTATTACACTCACTTGTTGTGCAACCATCACCTTCATCTAGTTCCAAAATGTTTTCTTCACCCCCAAAGGAAACACTGCATCCATTAAGCTGTCATTCCCCATTTCTCCCTCCCGCAAACTCCTGCAACCACATTTTACTTTCTGTCTCTATGAATTTGACTTCTCTGAGTACCTCACATAAGTAGAATCACATAGTATTTATCCTTTTGTGACTGGCTTGTTTCATTTAGTGGTATGTCCTCAAGATTCGTCCGTGTCATGCCAAGGCTGAGAATTTCATTCGGATGTAAAGCTAATAATATTCTTTTGTATGTATATATCGCAGTTTATCTGTTTATCTGTTGATGGACATTTGGGATGTTTCCACCTTTTGGCTATTATGAAGAATGCTGGTATGACCAAATTATTGTGTGGGCAAATGTTTTCATTTCTCTTGGGTGTATACATTCTTTAGGAATGTATATGGAAATGGAAATTGTTAAGTGGAAATTCTACATTTAACTTTTTGAGGAACCATCAAGCTGTTATCTGCTCATATTTTTTAAATGCCACCTTCTCTATTTTCCCCTAGGTATTTGTATTTATTTCTTAATAATTCACAGCATAAAGTCAGGAATAGTATAATAAACATTGTATACCGTTCGCCTAGATTCACTGGTTAGTATTTTGAGACATTTGCTTTAAGTTTTTATGCATATACATACACATACATATTTTATTGTTGTCATTGAATTGCTTGAGAGTAAGTTGCAGACTTGTTAACGCTGTCCCCTAAATACTTAAACATGTGTCTCCTAAGAGCAGGGCCATTATCTTATACAATACAGTGATCACACTCAGGAAATTTAACATTGACTCATTCTATTATCTAATACAGAGTCTATGTTCGAATTTCCCTAATTGTTCCAGTAATGTCCTTGTAGCTAAGATCATGTATTTGCATTTACTTGACTTGTCTTCAGTCTCCTTAAACTGGAACACTTAGTCCCTTAGCCCATTTTTATATTTCATGACACTGACATTTGTAGGACATGGTTCACTTGTTTTGTGGAATGTCCCTTATTCGGATTTTTCCTGATGTTTCCTGTGATTTGGCTCAGGTTTTATGTTTGTGCATGAATAGCTCTAAGTGATGCTGTGTCCTTGGTGCATCCGGCAAGAGACACAGAATATTAGTTGGTCCTATTATGGCTGATTTGGGGGAAGTAGGGGGGTTGTATTTCTTTTTTTATTGAATTTAATGGAGTGGCATTGGCGAATAAAATTATGTAGGTCTCAGGTGCACATCACCATTTATCCCCCAACACCCTCTTCTACCTCCCCTCCCCCGTCCTTCCCTCTGGCAATCACTGTATTGCTGCCTGTGCCTGAGTCTTCTCTCTCTCTCACTCCCTCTCTTATTTATTTATTTATTTACTTACTTATTTATTTTGCTTAATTCCCTCACCCCCTTAATTCAAAGGAGGTCCACCTGTTTTCTTCATTGTAAATGTTACTTTCTCACTCCCTTTTGTAATTAATTAATAAGGCTGTGGGAAGATTAAGTTTATGTAAATATCCTGCACGCCGAAAGAACTTCCCCGAAATGGTTTCAGCATTACCTGCTCATTTTGGATTCTCTTCCCTCTGGGAAGCCATAACTTCTCTGAAAAGCTGCACGTGTCCCTGTCTTCCTCCCACACTTCTCAGACCTTGTCTCTTCCAACCCCACTGGCCCCTTTGGTAACCAGGGCCTCGGCCTTTTCTCCCCAGCCTTTCTCTTTTCTCCCCTTTCCAGCCTTATCTCTTTATTGGCAGAGAAGGACATGTTCACGATTACATTTCCTTGTCCTCCAGGCCTGTGAGTCAGTTTGAGTGTGCTTTCCTTCCTGTATTTGCCTTCGAGTGGGGAGGAGATGACAAGATGTGGAGAGGGAAGAAGAAGACAGGGGAGAGAAAAGAATGTCCCGGCTACATGGTGTCCACAGACCCGTTTCTAGGAATATTTTCATCCGTTATCTCATGTATTCATCACAATATAAATTACTGTCATCCCTGGATAAATGAGGACACTGAGACAGACAAGCAACTTGCCCAAGTCATTCAAGGCAGTGAAGAAGCCAGCTAGCTGCTCCACATCCGAGAGACCTGGACTCACTTGTTTGCTAAGCTACCTACAAGTTAATTTGACATCCTTAGCCCCAGTTTCCTCATCAGTAAAAAAAGCAAACAACTCATCTCTTGTTGAAAGGAAAAATGAGATTATGTAGCTGAAGGGTTTCCTATAGAGCCTGGCTCTGGGCACTCTATTTTTATTAATATTTTCATTTTACCTTGTCTGACTATAGCCTTTGGAAGCTATATTTCAATGGATTTTCTCCAGTTTTAATTGTGAATTCAAACTATCTGTCATGAAGGGGAAAGTAGGGGGAGTTTAACTGGGGTGTACTCATCTGCCCTACAATAGCAGCCCTGCAAATGAAGTGATGGTTTGGAGTTTTGCTCCAACCTACTATGAAGCCATGATAAAGACATTGAATTGTAGCTATTTGCTCCCAAGAGATAAGAGATAGGATCTGCTGGTCTCAGAGTTATCACTTCGAGAGGAAGAGGTTATGATGCCCCTCCTGTATTCTCTTAAAACTTTTCTTGATGGGTTCCTAGCAAGTAACCTCTTTATCAGCTGTGTGCCTGTGCCATTTGCCAGCCAAACACATCCATTGTTAAGACACTGAAGAGAGTGTGAGCTGGCAGTAAGTCAAGTGCAAGGTGGCAGTGGGGGGCATATGCCTGAATAGACCGCTTCGCAGCATAGTGCTGGTTCTGTCATGAGTAGCTCAAGCTTGAGCTGAAATTGTCACCTTGAGCTCAAGCCCATTGGTCCTTTCTGGGATTGAGAAATCCTCTTTGCTTCAAATTCTAGATACCTAAAACCCTCCTGCCCATTTCTTACCTTTCCTTGTTCATGAGCTCCCACTGGGCCACGTGCTAAGTAGTCACACTGATTGTATAGAATTTTTTTTAGCATGTACCTAGTTGGTGCCTAGGAGAAACTGAGATTTGGAAGAGAGGAGAATGGGGCATTGGAAAATATGTAATTGTTTCCTCCAGAGTGGTACTTTTTATTTAAACTGTTCGAAAGTCGGTAAAAACCTTGTGAAAATTTATTATTTGAATAGGTTTGTTAGTAACGATTTCTTGTTGTAAATACATATAACATAACTCAGTGCGCAGTTCACGTCTGTCATGGACATTCATACTGTATAACCAATTACCAGGACTCTTTTCATCTTGAAAAACTGAGACTCTATACTCTTTGAAAAACAACTCAGCTTCCCAGCCCCTTTCAACCACTATTCTACTTTCTGTCTCTATAAATGTGACTATTCTAGGTACATCACATAAGTGGACTCATATAGTGGTTGTCTTTTTGTGTGTGTGACTGGCTTATTTTACTTAGCTTAATGTCTTCCATTTTCATCCATGTTGTAGCATGTT